CACATGTTCGAATATTCTCGGTTTCAAAAGCGGGGAGACGACGGATCTGCAAGCGAAACGCTTCGAGATGCTTCACCCAGCTCTTCGCATTCGGTTGCTGCTTGGGCAATCCAAGCTTCTGCAAGTTTCATTGTCCAGAGTTTCACGTGTGCAGGTGTGCACTTGGATCCCCATGCAAAGGCCCAGTGCTTCTTTAGCCCCAGGTATCCCAATTACCCCAAAGCCCACAACCCTATGTACCCTTGTCGCCATTTCGGTCTTTCATCTGTAGGAAACACATGTGCAGACAGCATTCATATAGGTTCATATAGGGCATAATTGAGATCCACTCACATGCCCCTTTCGGGCCCCTGCTGTTTCAACTACGCACGCTGCCTCAACTTGAAAGGCTTGGCTTGCTGGAAAGTAGGCAATGCAAGCAGTAGAAGCACCACCTGAGTGGGGACCCACTGCTCACTCTGAGTTCCATGCTCGTTTGAGTCCTGAGAGGCAGTCGGTGCAGAGACTTCTGATAAATGACTCCTCACCGGGCCCAAGAGGAGCTTATGTACGAATATTTTACACTGGCACTGGCTCTAAATTTGAAGGGCTAACCCAGGTTTTTACATCTTGTCATCCGAGAATCTGTGGGCTTTAGGATGTACTCCAGAAGTAGGACCGAGGGTTTCACTGTAACAGACTTGGCTGAGCTTCATCATATGGTAACCCTAAACCGAAACCCTACCTTCCTCTGGTTTTGCGCCGAGAAGTCTCAGTCGTGGCCGATGTGTTTGTGTCACTTGACAGGTGATAGAGTTCTTGCCAAGAAGGACTCGGACATAGAAACCAGGTCGTAGGATCCGAAGCTCAAGGAGCCCGAAATAAGCAAGCATTGACCTCAATAAACCCACATGTATATGGATCGGCTTAGCCAAAACCCGTTGATTCACCAGGCTTCGTCACACTGTTACAGAGCAGCATGAGGTTTATCGCGGTCAATTGGGAATCTCTGAAAAATCTGCCGGGGTTTTGTGGGGCTCGATGCTCGGCTCTAGGGACATTGGTTCGAGTTGCGGTTGACCATCAGGGAGTGTGCTGAGAGAAGTTCTGTACCGGCATGTTGCCCGCCCATGCTCATTTGCAGCATTTCCGTACAGAAGGGGCAGCAAGAAAAAACAATCTCGAAGTTTCCGTCGAGTCTCGGGATGTACTGATGAAGCACCGAAGCGCCTTTCAACGCTGTGACATGTAAGCATACGAAGCACGAGGCAACCATTCCAAAGAGCAGGTTGCTGGAAAACTACGCCATATTCTATTTCTCCGAAGGGTCTAGCAGTGCACTACAAAGGCTCACTGGCAATAGGCTTTCGCAATGTACGGTGTGTTGTCCGGCTGATAGTTGTCAGCGACTGCTGCTCCCAAAGCAAAGGGACCGAGTACTAATGCAGTAGCTACCTAGTAGACATATGGCCCCCCCTAGACCATTACTTTCACCCTTTTGGTTTCCCGGCTGCCAGTTTCCAGCTTGTTTTACCCGGCCTTAGAGCAGAAATGACTAACGAAGTTGGAGCTTGGCTCCGGGAAAAGAACCAAACTCGGTTGATGATTTGTGTTACATCACCCCTAAACCTGCCCTCAACTTTAGCCCTACCTGCCTTGCGCTGTCTTCGTTTCGAGCACCTCGCTTTGTAAACCCTTCAACTTTAGGCTCAGTCAGGCCTTAGCAGACGTCGGGTTTGGCGGTGACAAGCCACAGAAGGACTGCATGAGTGCCTGTCGAATAGCAGGCAGGGGAGCACGAATGTCCAGTCTTCGCCGAAGCTCTAAGCTCAACAGCTAATTAAGCCTCAAAGTCTTACTACCCTGAGTCCTAAACCCTTGTTCGCAAGTCTGTCGCCACTCGAAGCACAACTCTTGCAAGCTGAAGAGCAGGCTCTCAGCGAAGCCATGGATGCTTTGCGCGCCCCTTTGGACAGCATCCGACGGCGCATATACCAAGAGCATCGTGGCTTATGCTTTGAAGGGGCTTGACATATTTTGGCTTGAGTCTGCCATGAGAAACATCCCAGCAAAGGCCTCGCCAGGAGACCTGATGCAGGGCGCCAAACGCCTGACAGACTTGTTTGAGCTACCAACACATATCGGTTACATCTTCGTGAGGATTGGCTGACGGACGGCTCCTGTATTGCTGCAGGGACTTATGTAAGCTTATAACCTCTTCGTTTATGCGTCATCCTGTCAGTCGCAGCGTAAAGTAGTCTAGCACATGCTTTGCTTGGAGTCCGAGTGTGAGCGCCGAAAGCCATGTAAGCCTCGATGCCCAGCCAAACCCGACAATCCTGACGCACTTATTCTGGCTCCGAAATGCCTAAAACCCTAGCCCCCGGGTCCCCGGGGCCACAAAGCCCCAAAGCCCTCTTCACCCCAATGTCTAATCAGAGGCGACATGGCCAGGGCCTAGGAGCTGGCGGTCTGGTTCTTTAATGTTTCCCACAGTTTAGCGTGTAAGGATAAAGGTTTATTGGTTTAGAGTTTAGGGTTTAGGGCTTCAATGCAGCTTTTGGCTAGGGCATCTGGGGCTTAAGGGTTTGGGATTTCATAGGGCGTGGGGCCTCGCACATAATTATGTCAAGGATGTGGGCCAAAGGGTTTGGGCAGAGGCTTCGGCTTCAAACTTGTCAAGGTGTGAGTGCTTAATATAGGGGCCTAAACAATTACCAATACTATTTTGGGGGTTCCTTATAATTACAGTTCTAAGTATATAGTATATTATACCCAAAACCTTATCCTAATTATTAAGGCCCCTACATTATTCGTGCCGTTTGTCGGTTCTCGGAGGAAAGAGACCCGACACCATACACTCAGAGACCAGGAGAGCCCAAGAGCTGATACAGTAATTTGGAGGGCCGTTGGCCGGATGGCTCCACGCTTTAGGGCGGGCCCGCCCGTTCATACAGCAGGGAAATGTGTTGCATGATCTGCAGATCTGGGAAGCCTGGAAGGCTAAAGAAATTTGGGTTTGGGGTAGAATGAGGTTTAAGGTATTTAAGGTTTATAGGGCTTCATAGGGTGTCTGAGGTAGCCCGAGAACTGAACTCAAACTCAAGCCACGGGGAGTGTGGAACAGATGCAGATCTATGAGCTTCACTTCTCGCTTCGCCAAGGATTGCTGCACGTCGGGCCATTCCAGCTGATGAGGTGCGGTTGTTCATTACATCTTAAAGTCTTAACAAAGTCTTAAACTAAGGAGGCGTGACTCGGGACTTGCAGGTGTTGCTTCTAGAAAAAGCGTCTGTGCCATATAGTCAATACCCTGGGCAGTTCGGTCTATCTAGCCTGCAAGCCTGCAAAAGCTCATCTTCAGAGGAGCTTGTTGCGCGGCATTCTCAGCAGAGACACAAGCAAACACAGATGCAATGCTGAAGCCTTCGAGAGACAGCATCGGAAACCCCTCTTTGTAGCCCGACACAAGCCGAAACTCCAGGCCCGCAGAAAGACACCGAAAGGGTAGAGCGGGTAGAATGCATAATGCACAGTTTTGATCCTACGACTTTGCAAAAGCTACGCAGAATCAAACTTCCCCTTTGCCGGTGCTTGGGAATTCCAGGGCCGAGATCTGAATCTTCTGTGGTGACTAGGAGATGCACAATTAGGGTCCCCTTTTGGGGTTTATAGGGTTTAGGGTGGTGGATTCGGGGATGACGGAGGAAGAGATTTCCTGGGGCTCGTCGCTTTGGAGGCTTCTGCACATGTATTGTTTCAACATGGGTTGTAGGGTTCTGCAGGAGTGGGAGGACACTCGAAACACAAAACCGGCCGAATACCGAAACCCTGGACCACCAGAAAACGAAAGAGCGCATAGCGTTGCTGTTCAGTATGTTCTTCGCAGGTCGACAGATCTGCCCTTCGACGTTTCTGGCGATCGAGCGGCACAAAAGGGGCTGGGGCTGGGGCCGACGTGGACGTCAATAAACTATCCATTTGCGAGCTAAGCCAGAGTGGCAGACCTCGTGAGATCGAGTCTTCGTGCGCATGTACAGTTTAGCTTGTTGTGAGGAGGGTTTACGTATATTATTCTGACATGGTGGTGCCGGTGGCAATAGTGAAGACGGCAATGCCGATGATGTGGATCCTCAGCAGGGCAAAGCCACGTAGGAGTGAAGCTTTGGATGACAAGTAACGGAGGGTGGTGACGGGCACTGATGAAGACGACAATGTCCATGATTGCGGATCGAGGAGTTGCTGTAGCAGACGCCTAATTTAAAGTGCTGGTTTCTAGTTACAATTAAATGAGCTATAATGGCAACAACAGCAGTCGTACCGTAGTAGCAGCAGCAGTGGCCGCAGCAGCAGCAGCAGGAGCAGGTATGCGAAAATCGTGCGCCTGATGTCTTGAAGTCCTGAACTTCTAGATCCCATCTATCTCTCTCGCCATATATATGTATATATATATACACGTATACATATCTTACACACACATATATATATATATGTGTGTACGTATGTATTGTAGACTCAGGTGCGTGTTGCCACTTTCTGAGGTCCGGGTTGTCACCGGCAGTGCGTTTGGACGTGTTGCGCTTCACGGATGCCGCTATCGTGCAGAGGGTGCACAGCCACATGATCACCCTCCTGAAAGCTGAGCCCATGGCTGAAGTTACACCTTTCTTGTTTTGCATTTCGGCGAGTTCTCCGAGCCGACTCTTTACAATGTTAAGTCGCAAATCAGAAGTTCATGCCCGACTGCAGTTCGTTTGTGGCTCTGATCCTGCTGCTGCTCGCCGGCTACAGTCTAGCATCAGGACCTTCACAGTCTTGAATCCCAGATTCGTCCTTGATAATTCCCTTCACACATCATTCCTTGTGGGTGCGTCATCATGAGTCCTTTGCCCCCGAGCCTGAGCTGCGGCATGCGGCATAACAGTTACCAACAGCGTTCTAGCTGCTAGCTGCTCAGTTCAGCTTTTGTGTTATTGAGATCGGCCGTGATGGCTGCAGCAGATGGCGCCCAGGACTTCGAAATGATCCAAACGACTTTCTCGGATAAGGCGGATGGGAATGCGGACGCAGACTCCAAGCAGTCAGCTGCTGAACGCGGACGGCGAACATCCGTTGTCGTCGGAGAGTTCATCAAGGGATCGGAGATGTCCTCGCAAAAGTCGCTGAGCCTCACTGCCCGAGCAAGGGCCCAGAGATGTTTAGCCTGGCTTGCCGACAGTCCCGGACTAGCTAATTTCATGGCGGGCGTCATCGTCGTAGACGCAATCTGCACATGGGTTGACATTGATGCCAGAGCTGCAGATGCCCCTCCAGCTGACGGATCCTTTCCAGACCTTGATATAACATAGCTACGGTTTTTTCTTCCCTACTCCACCACAATGAACCATACCTTTCCCACACCAACATGTAAATCCTTGTTGCCAAGGCGCTTTGTTGTTTCTGGACCTCAGTCTGGCCTTGTACACAGCTGAGCTCGTAATCGTGCTTTGCGGCAGGGGTGCGCTTAAGATGCTGACCGACTGGATTGTACTGCTCGACATCATCGTCATTTTGTGCGGATACTTCGAGATCGTGCTAAATGCCTTGGGTCCCACAGATTGGGTAGACAGGCTGCACGTAATGCGCGCACTGCGACTGGCGCGGATATTCCGCTTGCTGCGGCTCTTTCGGAGAATCCGTGCCTTGCGTGAGCTTCAGAAACTGGTCACAATGATGGCAACCTGCTTCCGCACTTTGGCCTGGTCTTTCCTCCTCTGCTTCGTCATCATGACAATATGGGCCATGCTCTTGGTAGAGGTGGTGCATCCCATCATTGAGGGCATGCCTGATACCTTTGTCAGCTGTGCTTTCTGCCGGGAGTCAACTGGATCTGTCATGTCAGCAAATCTTCTCCTCTTCAAGACGGTGATCGCTGGAGATGGCTGGGGTGATGTGGCAGTGCCAATAATCGAGCACAGCCCCTGGACTGCGCTGATTTTCGTTGGCTCCTTGCTGACCCTGGTCTTCGGTGTTCTGAATATTATCATTGCGGTCGTGGTGGATACATTCGCTGAGGCCCGACTTAAAGATGTAGAGAATTTGGCCGAGGAGATGGAACATGACCTGGAGATGAACAGGGAAGAGTTGCAGGAACTCTTTCAGCGGATCGATGCCTGGCTCCTTCATGCTGTCAGTGCTTAGTTTAGGGCATGTCATGCTATCGTCGCGTTGGTATTTTAGCGCAGCTGCCAGTTTTAATAGAATGTGTTCAAAACTGCTCGGTTGCAAGTTGTGCATCCTTCTTATACTTATACTGGATTTACTAGAGTATCCCTTACAGCAAAATCACTGTATATGGCCCCATATCAGCTATGTCAGACTCTTCCGGTCTTCCATACGTGCTTGAAGCTGCTGCGCCCGGAGCCAAAGCCACAAACTCTTGAAGCCCGAAACCCTGAACCCCTAAACCCTGAACCCTGAATCCTAAACCCCACATACTAAAGGACAAGGACGGCAGCGGACAGCTTTCCTTGGAGGAGTTGATCACCGGAGCCAGGCGAGACCCTGTTTTGCAGAGCAGGCTTCGAGATCCTTGGCTCAAGCTCATGTAATCAAAGAGAGAGGTGCATTTTTTAGTTTGTTTGTGTGTGTGTGTGTTTTGCCCGTTTGCTTGCTTGCCTGCTTGCTTGTCTCTGTGTGTGTGTGTGTGCGTGTGTGTGTGTGTGTGTTCGTGTGGGTGGGTGGGTGGGTGGGTGGGTGGGTGGGTGGGTGGGTGGGGTG